GTAGGGTGGTAAATCCACTCTGGGTTTTGCTGTGAGCTCTCAAAGGAGTTACCAAAAATGCTGAGATTAATTTGGAAGTGGTGTTCAGCACTGGGATAACTCTTTTAAAGTCTGGATTGCAAACCAGAGGGGACTCATCACTGGCTTGGAAGCCACTAGTTGACCCATAGTGCATGGTAAGAGCATCATTGTATGCATGCCTATATCAATAGTTCTTTGCTTCTTTCCATACCATGTTTTTTCTCTCTGAAACAGCCTGGCTTGCTGCTGCTGCTGCTGCTTCTTTTTAAAGTTATATAATGCTGCTTTGATTATTATTATTTCCCTATATTCCTCTTCCTTTGCAGAAGACAGAGTGAATATTTATACACTTAGGCCTACTATTGATTAGGTTGCCTGTGTCTAGGTTTGCAATATTAATATGCTCATTTCCTACCGTAATTTATCACACCGCTCAGGGATAGGAAGGTAATTGGAAGAACTGGGAGGAATGGAGGTTTTGATGTTCTGCGTCGGAGGAATGGGGCCAAAGGATTTGTAGAAATGTTATTCTAATGTGCCATCGTAGTCGGCAGGGATCGCTTAGAGGCTTCGATCTTGGTAGGAGATCTTCATAAGTCAGTTAGGGAGCATAAGAGGAGAAGGGAGGGAAGAAGAGAGAAAGAGAGATGTTCCTCTTGATCATGAAAAGTCTTGCTGTACTACTCCGTTGTATCAATTTACTACCAGTTAAACTGCCACAACTCCCTCCTAAGGAATGGTGGGATTTGTAGTTTGGTAGTGATTTGGGTGTTGGACTATAGAATAGAATCTTTATTACAGTCATAGACCAGTAAGTGTTGGAGGCCAGAATTTGATTCCCAACTCAGCCATGAAACCCACTGGGTGACCTTGGGGAAGTCACACTCTCTCAGCCTCAACTGTGGCAAACCTCCTCTGGACAAACCTTATAAGAAAACCCCATGATAGTTTCTCCTTAGGGTCACCATAAGTTAAAAAATGATTTGAAGGCACGCAACAACAGGCAACAACAACAGAAAGGGTACAGGGAAATGCATTAAGTGATCCTTAAACTTTGGTTTTGAACTTCAGCTTCCCAAATTCTTGGCCCTTGGCAATGGCTGGCTGGGATTTCTGGGAGTTGAGGTCCATCATATCTTGAGGACTAAAGTTTGGGAAACATTGAGCTGGAGCTCTTGAGCAGAGAATTTGAAGGACCTCACCCAAGATTCCTTAAAGTGGAGCCATTATAGTTATGAAGGTATCACACTGACATGGAAGAGTCAGCATGAAGTAGTGGTTTGAGTATAAGTTTTTGACTCTGGAGACCAGGGCTCAGTTCCCAGCTCAACCATGGAAACCCACTGGATGACCTTGGGTGAGTCACACACTCTCAGCCCCAGAAAATCCTATGATAGGTTCTCACCTTAGGGTCACCAAGTTGGAAATGACTAGAAGGCATGCAAGTACAGTTGGCGCTCCACATTTGCAGCATTGACTATTATGGATTTGGTTATTTGCAGTTTCACTTCATATGTTCTCTCTAGGAATCTCTTAAGTCCTCCAGCGCAACTCTGCCAGAGGTTGACCATAGAGTTGTACTGGAGAACCTAGAAATTCCTAGAGAAAACCCTTCTCTAGGCATTTGTAGGTCCTCCAGCAGGATTCTATGATCAACCTCTGACAGATGTTGACCACAGAGTTGCATTGGAAGACCTGGAGTTTCCTAGAGAGTTGTTCTCTTAGGTAAAAAGAATAGTGTTTCTTTTTTTAATTTGTGGGTTTTCCACATTGACGGGGGTCCTTCACCCCTAACCTCAGTGAATGTGAAGGGACCACTGTAACTTCAAACTTCCACTGAGCATTTAGAAATACAGTTGAGCAGAATTAGCCAGAATTAGACTTTTGCAAAACCAGAGCTTCAAACACCTTGCCTTTTTGCACCGACTCAAAAGTGTCCTGATGAAGCCAAATGCTGTATTTGAAATCTTCCGCTCTCCCAGAACCGGGAAAAACCAAACAACCCTGGAAGAACCCTTGTATCTTTGTCTATGCTTTTCCCTCACTTCCTTAGATACTTTCTGGAGAAGGAAGGAAGGAGGAAGGGAGGGAGGGAGGAGGTACCTTTTTCCCTCCGCTCTTGGTATTATTATTTCTGTTTCCCGCGCTGGTTGTCAAGCTATGCGTTGGTGGAATTTAGTCTGCGATTCGCAGCGGGGTTAATTGGCTTTCCGAAAGTCACCCAGGGCAGATGCTGGGATCAAACTCTGCAGTGTTTGGGACTTTTGTCTGAGATGTGAGAGGCTTGATGAAGGACAAGGCATACTTCATTACCTTCCCAGCGAGCATCACCTCGGCTGATTTGGGTTGTTGGGTTTGGTTTTGCAAAGAAGGAAAAAGTGGCTGCGTTTTTTGATTTTGGAGGAGGGCTGGTGAAATTTGTAGGTGCCTTTCCTATATATGTATAAAATTTTAAAACAGATACATTTGACCTTAAAAATATACATGCATAAATACATACATACATATCTAATCTAATCATACCATCACTATTCCTTAACGATTCTTTTCTAGTTTCATAACTTTCTAACTTTCTTTCATTTTTCCCCCTCATAGTCTCATAGGGGGGAATACAGTGGGTCTATGGTATCCACTGTGTGGATGCTCAAGTCCCATTAAACACAATGGG